ACCAATATGTGCCAGAGAAAACACAGTTCTTTGGGTAGTTTTAGAAGCTCATGGCAGCGAGGGAAGCCGCTCTTTCGCGTGGCACAACGGAGCTGCCCTGCTCAGTGTTCCTGTTTGTTCGGGGGAGGGCCTTTTGCAGCAAGGCAGCAAGGTGCTCAAAGGCTTCTCGTGTTTTTTGGTGTGGGTGAGACCACAGGAATGTATGTCTGTTTTTGTTTGAGCAGTCTCTCTGGTGTCTCTAAATGGGGAAGCCCCAGAAATGGCGGTTTCATTTGGTTTCTCTTCAGAGCAACCACAAATAGGTTGCGCCCGCAAGGAAGTCCAAGCCTGTTCAGACAGGAAATGTTCCTGTGGTGTTTGTTTGTGGCACCAATCCATGCGAACATGAGCCACTGCAAACATTGCTGATCTTTGGTAGAACCTTCGCCCTTAGCGGCCCTTAGCAGCTCCTGCGGAAACTATGTGATGTCTGTTGGGCCTGCCAAGGGGTAAAGTTCTTGCTCGGGAGTTCAGACCGGGCAAACGGACGCCTTATTGAGGGCGTTAGATCAAGCGCCGGGCCCAACTTGAATGCATGGCCATAGCTTCTCTTTTTGACTTGCCCTTTTGGTGTTGCTGTTTTCCTTCCCAGCGAAAAGTTCACTCAGGGGTCCAAGTCAGACGACTCATGACCTTTTCATCTCGCAGGATCCGGGGGTGGGCCGGTATGGCGTCCAGTTCCTCTCCCACGCTGCGAACACCTCCACAGAGTACATGCGGGAGCTTCACCATCTGGGCTCCATTCCCATCGTCATCCAACAGATGAACCAATGGCCGCAGGACTGAGCTGCCCCGCTCGGTTCTTAGTTTGCTTGCTTTTTACTCCGTATGTTGTTTCGGTGTTCATCTGAAGTTGTTGTCCAAAAGTTTTGGGCTGTAGTCTGGGTTGGCTGGATGTTCGACTGTCACAAACAGATGTCAGGTTCGTCATTGAGTCTGTTTGCTGCAGGGGTGTTACCGATTTCGTTTGAATAGGACAACAAGGTTCTAAATCCCCAAGTCATCAAACCTGGTTCGGCTGCGAAGCAAACGCGCCATACTTTCACTGCATCCCCAGAATACATCCGTACCTGGTGAGTGTTTCCCTCTGTGTGAAGTGCAGTCCGACCTGTGCAAAAGCGCCATACATACAACTCAATGAGGTCGAGCTGTTGTTGACAGGACCCCATTGCAAAAATCGGATCAACAAAGCCCGCCAGAGAAACAAGAGGTGGTTGGCTTTAAGTGGTGATTGCAGATGACAACAGCCTTCAGAATTGATCGGAAGGTGGCAGTGGCGCGAGGCCTGGGTTCAACCATGACTGCACCAAGTTGTGTGCTCATTTGTGCTCTATTCATCTGCACGCCCTTTGCAGATGTCGCTTGTTGGTAATTGTGTGCAAGGCTTGGGCAGCAAGGCTGGGGAGAAGCACATTCATTTGCTGAGCCGCTCGCGGCGTAGGTGCGGTGCGCGTTTCAAGTCATTTGGTGAATCCCCAACTGGCTGCGGTTCATTGTTGTCGGGCTTAGCCGGCTGTGGTTGATGGTCCTAAGTCCTTGCGTGGCCAAGCGAACATTCGATTGCGTGGCAATTTAGGTGGGGTCAGCAGGTTGCTTGTCACGGAATGTCGGTTGCACAGCTCTTCGCAACGCGTTCGGCATGCTGCCTGCTGGGGGTGAAAACACCACGCATCTAAAAACGATCAACCTGAGGGCAGAGTTGTTGCTCACACACTGACCAAACCTTTCTGGGGTAGGTAGTTCGATTGAGAAATGGTTTCCTGCTTTTCCGGCCTTTGCAGACGCACATGGCACACCTGGTTTCGCAGAATGACCCCTACAGTGGTGGGAGGGGGGTCTATTTCGAGAAGCCACATGCGCCGTTCAAGAACTTTCCGGCGGCAACTCAATACACGGGATCGGTCGACCCCATTTTGCCGCTTGCCGCAGGACACCATTCTGCAGCAGTGCCTCGGAAAAGTGAATCAGCTGAGTCCTTTTGAGCTTTGAGTCATGGCCCCCCCAACATTTGGAGCTTTTGAGCCGCATTTTGTTCAGAAAGGCCACCTTCCCCCGCGGCCCCCTCCCCCGCCCCCCCCGCCCCTCCCCGCGCAGCCCAACCTCCGCCCCCCCCCCGTCTCGATCGCAAGGTGCGGCTGCCAATACCTCTGCTCCATGGCCCAAGTCCCCGAGATCCGCGACGAGATCCTGAAGCACGGCGGCATCCGCCCGCTCATCGCGGCCATGAACAACTACCCCCAGGACAAATGCAAACGGCTCCCATGGAGTTCTGAGGGACCTTTTTTTGGGGGTCTTCCCTCAAATCTAGTAAATTGCGAAGTTTGAAATGACCGAAGCCACAAGGATAGAACATTGGTGGGTCCTTTTTTTGTTAGGCAACAAGATCGATTGTGACAGCGGCTTTGGAGTAGCCTTGTACCTGGTTTTCAAACCTGGGCAGATTTCCCGCCCAAGGTCTTTCAAACACCACCTACAGGTAAACCTAGCTCACCCATGATAGCTTCCTAAGAAGTCCCTTCATTCATGTTGGTACATTTGCCAAACAGGAGGGCTTCTTCTGACGCTTCCCTAAACAGGATGAATGACTTGTCAACATAAACAGATGGGCCGACACACGCCAATTCTAATCGCGAAATTGCCAAACTTTACCAGTTGAGATGGATGAAACCTTCTGAATACTGGGACAGGCCCTTTGGATTAGGTTCGCTGAGCGCTGAGGATGTGTGGATCGGTTAACCGAGCGGACGCGGGATGGGGAGTTTGCAGTTGCAGTGACACGAGTTGTTTTTCTCAGTTGCGTTGAGCAGAACTCCCAGCCCTTAATCCATACGCCGCCAGCGTAGCTTTCCTCGCCTCTCTCGGTCTCTCTCGAAGCCGCTCGAGCTACAAAACACAAGCCCCGATCTCTTGCGCAGCAAAGGTCTCATTTGGAAGGATACCAAGAACCATGACTAGGATTGACACAAGTTGATTTCGCTCTGATCTGGCCTGCATCGATTAGGAGGTCGTTTGTCGTTTGTTTCCAATTTTGGCCGCCTGCAACCCATCCTGGTCTCCACATGGCTTCAGCCAGATCGAATCCACCAAGTCAGCTCAAACCAAGGCCACGCCCATCCTGAATCCCTCTGAAACGCAGGAAGCAAATCTTGAAGCGACCCTAAACTCGCCCAAAAGCCATCACAGGCATGTTAAGCCCCCTCTCTGAGCCTGTCTTTTTATAGCCTGAATCGCGCACCAGGAGGACCTTTTGCCGCTCCGGAAGCAACATGGGCTCTGGATCTTTTGTTCTCATTTCGCTGGGCTTCAAAGGGGCGGAAGAGCTTCCCACCAGAAACTGCCCCGAGTCTTTGCCATGGGTTTGACATCAACAGCTGACAGCGGGGTCTTTGAACGTAGGCCTTGCAAGCGCTCGGGCGGCTGTTGGGAATACCTGGGTTCTTCCCCCCAGCTGAACGCTATGGGGTCCCTGCCCGGATAGGAGTGGTTTTCCCAAACAGCGACAGCCGTGGGTATTCAGCCCCGTAGGTTGCCAGGTTTGGGATTGTTGAAGGGTTCCAGCAGAGGTTCTGGGGAGGTTTCGAGACAGGTTCCGGGGAAGCTCCGAGGAATGAATCTTGGCTAATGCCGGGCACGCTCCTTTGCGCTTATTTTCCTGGCCGAAGCCTCAACTGAGTGGTCAGCAACCCCCCATTTTTAGTTCCAAGAGAAAAACAGTTTGGACTTCTTTGGGGAGGACATGATGTCCCCCCCCCCCTCACCCACCCCCACCCCCCTCTTTCTTTGGGTCGGCGTCCCCGGCTCAATCCGCTGCCCGGTAGGACCCCATCATCCACCGCTACGCCTTGTCGGCCTTGGCGCCCTTGGCCTACATCCCCGAGTACGCCACTCAGATCATCGACGCCGGGGGAGTGCAGGCGGGGCCGAAGGAGTGGCCGAAGGCTTGGGACAGGTTTCAACTGGTTTAAGGCACTGGTTGTGTAAGTAACCCAACCCCATTGTTTTTAGCCGCTGGTTTGCAGAAACCTGCTTAAATGTGGGTTAAGCAATCTCCTTAAGATTTAATCAACCTTCTTGATTAGCTGTTGTTTAAGCAACCTCGGCTACTAGCTGGTCTTTAAGCAGCCTGCGCTATTAATGCAAACATCCTTAAATGTTGCTTACGCAAGCAATTTTTGCAGCCTCCTCAAATGCTTTTGAAGCAAGCTTCCTAAAATGTTGTTTAGGAAACCTCTTTAAAACCACTGCCATTGTCGGTTGTTTAAGTATGTTTTAACCATGTTTGGCATCCACGATCGGCTTGTTTCACCAAGTTTCATCCGCTGTTGAGAAAGCAGCCTCTTTAAACCCACTGACATTTAATTACTGCTGTTTAGGCAACTTTGCAATGTGAGATCAAAGGTTATCCTATACACCACTACTGGTGGTTCCAACACATTTACACATTGTTGTTTAGACAAATCCCTTAACACCACTGTTGGTTGCGTCAACATGTTTGAGCATCTACTGTTTGATGCTGAACGCCCCTGTTGATTCTTCAATCATGAGTATACAACTATTGTCTTGAACACGACCTCCTTGGCTCCACTGTTGGTTGTTTGCTCAGGATTAAACCACTGTTGTTGAAACAACCTCCTTAATGCCCCTGTCGGGTGTGTAAAATATATTGTTGTAAAACAACCTCCTTACAGCCTCTTTTGATTATTTGACATGTTCAAACCGATGTTTAAACAGACTCCCTACCGCCGCGGTTGGTTAACACTCTATTGTTTTGAATAATATCCTCCATGCCTCTGTTGGTTGATTCATCATGTTTAAGCCCACTGTTGTGAACACCACTCCCGTAAAGCCACTGTTGATTGCTTATGCAGGTGAACCCACGGTTTCATTCCACTGGTCCATGGGGTGGCTCTTGCCATCAGGCGGTGAAGAACACCTTGCAGTTCCACTCTCGCGATCCTCAGGCGCGTGGGTGTGGCTTGTTTTGGCAGGGAGGTGATTTTTGTATTTGGGGACCCTTTGGTGGACCTCATTAAGGTGGGGATTCACGTCCACCAACCACATGGTAAGTGGCTCCCTCTTAAAAATCACAGCCCTTTAAGTTGGATTGAAAAGGAAGCTACCCTCTGCATCATTTTGGTGTGTGTTTGTGGAGGGAACCCTGTGAATCCTGTTGGTTTGAAAGGGTCACCAACCGGTAACGACCCATTCTGAAGGTTCCGTCATTTTGAGACACACCCAGTTGCAGAACGTGAGTGGCGATTTGGGATTCCCAACTGCTTCCTTTGAGCAGATTCCCTAGATGTGAATCGTATCGGAACAACTTGAAAGCGAGTAATTTGTGGTGGAAGGTTCGTTTTGAAGGATGCGCGTAGGGTAAAACTGCAGAGTTGACCCCTGATTGAGAAGCCCCTATGCCTGTTACATGGTTTTGGGCCAAGCCCTTGGAAAGGAGGAGCTGAACAACGAACCCCTGACATACAGTATTTTGAGGGAGAGGTTATTGATCACGGCTCACATTACCCAGGAGTGTTTATATCCAGGAGAGCATCGACTTTAGATGGGAAGTAGGCAGCTTGATCAGCTAAGCGCCTCAGAGCCGCTTTGACCATGGGAATACTGGCAAAAGTAGAAGGAGATCCAGGTGGATTTGAACCTGTCTATTCAGCAGTCAGCCAGTGCAGGTCCTCAGTGCCCACAAACTCAAGGTTCTACCAAGATGATACCATTTGGCATGGGAAGTACTATAATCTCACGGGCGTTTCCAGGTATGGTGGGTTGATATTCTACGCCCTTTGGTGGCGAGTAACAACACCAACTGTTTCTAGGGATCCCTGAGACCCAGGATTTGACATGACACATGTGGACAAAACAGCCTGTACATGGTGCTGTCTCTGTTCACCCTGAATGTACTTATATCAAATTGTTAAGTTTGTTTGCAGCATTTGAGGGGCGAGAAGGTACTGTGCTTGGCAGCATGCCCAAACATGTTTGCCAAGAACGTGCAGTGAAACGAGCCTTATGGCAACTGCCTTTGCAGCGAGTGCCAGTCACTCTTCTTGGCATGCCGAAAGCACACGGTGCCCTGCTTGCGACTGGCACGGACCACGAGTTCCTGCCTTGTTTAATCCTGTATCAGGTTGGAAGGCTTGGGTTTACAGGCTTCATTCTGCAAGGAGTGTATTGGATCATGCGGGGCCTTTTGGCTCAAGCATGATCCAAACTGGCTAAATTTTAACTTCTGGTTTGCGGGTTCGGCAAGTGTTACTTGTCGAATGTTGGCAGTTCCAGGAGTTGACTTTGCCGTACACACGGATCGTCCTATCCTGTCCACAGGCGCCTACCTCGACTTCAAGCGCCATGTGGGCAACTTGCTGGAGCAGGGGAATCATGGCAAGGCCCGGATGCTCTGGCTTTCGGCTGTGGAAGTTTTGCATGCCCCTTTCGTGCAAGCTCCCCTGCCCTTGGTTGATAGTGGGGAGATACCCCACCTGCAATTTGCACCCTGCATTGATGCCCAGTGTGCGAGATGTGACGGGTCCCTTGGCGGCTTCAAGTTCCCGTTCATCGGCACCTGGTGCCGGCGTGCAGTCTTGGCTCAAGAAGGTGCATCTGCAGAGGAGGCTTGGGCCGCCTATCATGGGTGCTATGAGGAGGATCGCCTGTCTGAGGCCATGGTGGCTGAAGCAGGCAGTGGCCTCCGTGCCCAGGACATCATCCCGATGTATGTCTCCGCCATCGCTGGCCGGGTGGAATCTGGCGACCTCCCCTTCGTGTCCTTCAGGGGCTTCATGGGGACCTGGAGGAAATGGAGCTTGGGTGCTCGGAGTTGGACCGAGCCATGGCCCAGGGAGAGCGACTCCCTGGCCAGAGCCACAGCGGGGAGGCTTCTCCGTGGGTGGCTGGACGAGGGTAGGAGGAACCTCCCTCTGGGCGGGCTTTGCGCCTACTGCGGGAGCAGGACTCACTCTGTGTGCGCTTCATGTGGCATCCATCAATGCGATCCGCTGCTGCCAAGGCTCTATGCTGGGGGGCGCTGCTCTTAGCCATGGCGTTTCGCGGTGACGCCACTCCTGGGCGCTATGCCACTGAAGCCATGGAGCACTCCGGGGGCGACCCGGGCGGCTCTGGCGAGGGGCTGATGTCTCGTGTCCATTCGAGCTTTTCGGCAGAAGCACGGGCTGTTGCAGGACTCCGACTTCGGCTTTGCCTTTGAGGCCTTCGAAGATGCGGTCCGCGCGGGTGGCCACTTCGTCGCCGCTGAATGGGCGCGGGTGCGGGCGGAGCAACAGGCTCACCTCCTCCCGGCAGGCGCGGCAGTGGTGGAGGCGGACCCCTGGCGAGTGACGCCGGTGGGGCCATCGACCCTCCGCCGGCCGGCGGTGCGGCTCCCCACAAGCAACGTGGGCCTGCGGTTGAGGCAGAACCCGGACAACGCCGAAGCGGTCGGCCGCAGGCCTTCATGAAGCTGGGCGTCCTTCGGCCCCGGAGGTACGACGACCCGAAGCGCTATGCCGACTGGCAGCAAGCGGTTCGGAGGCTTGCTCAGGAACGAGTCACCCAGTCCGAGGCGACCACGATCCTGAACGCGGTGAGGACGTTCCAGGAGCTCTCGCTCTTCCTCGCAGCCAGGGGCGTGCAGGACCCGGAGGAGTTGGACTTTCACGCCTTCCTTGAGCAGGCTATGTCGCCATCGCGAGCGCTGCAGTCATTGCGCTGGCTGTCCAACAACGGCAGGTTGCAGTGGCAGCTGGACCGCCTGAAGCCCCCCAAAGTTATTGGGAAGGTGCGCAAGGCGAGGTCCCAGGCCGTGGTGGTGGAACCGCCCATGCTGCTCACCCTGGAGGGCCGGATCATCGAGATGCAGCAAGCCCGAGATCCAGCTTGGACAGCAGCGCTGTCGTCGTGGCTCGTGGCTTCGGGTTGCCTGCGCTACAAGCACTTGAGCTTATCCACCCCGGTGAAGATCAGCAGGGAGTTCTTCCACGGCCACTGCCGCAAAGGGAAGCAGTCCCATAACCGGCAAGGATTCGACTGGTGTGCACCAGCTCGTTTCTCCAACGGTTGGCATTGGGCCGACAAGTGGCTGGAGGACTATCAGGGGCTAGCGCCGGAGCAGCACGACAAGTGCGGCATCTGCTTTCACCCGGCCTCTGGCCAGGCGTGGCCCATCCGGGAGGTGCAGAGGGTGACTCAGCACCTCTTCCATGGCGTGGTGGAGCCCCTCGAGCAGCTCACTAGCTATTCCTGGAGGAGATTGCTGCCGACGGTGGGCTCTTTGATCCGCCTTCAGGACGCGGAGATCGTTTCCCTGGGAGACTGGCAGGACAAGGTCGAGGAGCGTGTCTCGATGCCGTTCCACTACAGCGGCGGCAAGTACGCCTTGTCCATGCGGACCAAGATGAGAGCCTTCCTCGTGGCGGCCAAGGTCGCGGACTGCGAGGCCTGGGAGACGGTCACGGAGGAGGAGATCGCCGAAGCCGACGAGGAGGCCAAGATCAAGGCCGCTCAGGCTTGCCGAGGGGACACAGAGGTGATCTGGGCCCAGGCACCGCAGACCACGGCGCTGAAGAGGCGTTTCTCCCTGAGCCAGTCGCTCGTGCACAGTGCCCGTGAGCGAATGAGGAAGCCGGCTCCCTCGGCCAGGGCCAGGGCCATGCCATCCAGGCTGGGCGAGATCTTCCTCACGGGACATTTGAAGAACGGTACAGCGTTGTGCCCGGACTTCAACACAGGCGAATGCCGCAAGGACCGTGTGCAAGGGAGCACTTGTGCGCGATGCTGCAACAGACGGGCAGGGCATGCGGAGGACGCCACCCGGCAAGCGAGTGCCGAGCAAAGCGGCGGATGACGGAGGCGAAGCTTCGCGAGCTGGGGCTGCCTGTGCCGGCTGACCCTGTGGAGGTGGGGGCGACCCGCCCCGCAGGGGCGCCATCGGAGGCGCCGGCTCAGAAGCGCCGGAGAATCTTGCCGCCGCCACTGCCAATCGCCCCGGCCGGGCCCATGTCATCCAGACCGTCGGCCGAGGAGCTCCGCGAGGCTGCAGCAGCCAACCGCGTTGTGGAGGTCGAGGATGCGGAGATCGGCGAAGTTCCTGCCTCGGTGGATACCAGGCGCCCGGCAGAACCAGCCGAGATCCCGGGCAACTTCTTGGAGATCCCGGAGTGCCTGGGTTTGAACCCAGCTGACAGCAAATGGGACCGGTTGGCAACCGTGCGGGGGAAGTCCGCCCAGACCCCATCGCTGATCTACAACAACGTGCGAGGAGGAGCCCTCTTTTTGGCGGGCATCCCCACGGCAGTCACGGCCGCAGCCTTCCCAGCATGCAGCCTCCAGGTGGTTTGCTTCCCGGAGAGGCTGGCCCAGCGGCAAGGTGTGCCCTTGTCCGGGGCTCACGTGGAGTACTTCGCCATCGCCCACGCCGACCGACGACAGGAGGACTGGGACAGGGTGTGGCCCCTGGTACGGCGCTCGCTCTATCACGGAGACGTCGTCATCGTCCACTGCATGGCGGGGCGTCACCGAGCCGCTCTTGCTGCGGCGATGTGGCTGGCGATGCTGAAGGGGATCAGCCTGGCGGACGCAGCGGGGGAGATCCGGAGATGCCGCGATGTGGAAATCACCAAGACCCTGCAGGACCGCAAGCTGGCCGGATGGGTGCACCAGGCGCTGGCGAGCTCCTCAGCAGGTGTGTCTGAGCCGGTGTGCACCGGTTTCATGGCCACTGCGAAGAGCCAGGTCCACATCAGTACGGCCAAGGGATACCCGCTCTGCCAGCACAAGCAGGCAGCGCGCCAAGCTGACCGTCTGGCCTATCCGCTGACCACCTCGGACAAGTTCGAGGCCATCGCATGGGAGCAGCGCTTTTGCCGGACTTGCCTGAGCAAGTGCCCGGCTAGTTTCCTCCCTCAGTGAGCCAATTTTGGCCATGGGCGCCGGATTCGGGCTGCCCGAATTTAGTCCC